GTATAAATTTAATTATAAAAATTTTTCGAAAAAACCTTCATTTTTTTAATAAATATTTCAATTTAATTAGTTCAAGTATATATACAGAAATCAAATGAACCATGAAGAAAAAAAGTGAATATTTTTTATTTAAAGTTGTTTTTTTTTTTTTTGTATAAAACTGTGTTTATTAAGAAAACTTTTATATTCATTTCAAAATGTATGTTTTATCTGACTATAGCACAAGCAAATATTCTCATAAAACCGGTTTCCAAAAGCAAAAAATGTGAATTAGAACTCATATAAAGAAACTAGAATTTATAATATTCATTGAAGCTTTTGAAGAGTAGTTTAAAGGTAAAAAAAAAATTATTGAATAAAGGATGTAGCGGATTATCACTTTTTCCTGCTTAACTTAACAGGATTATCACTGCTTGATCCTGTTAAGTTTTATTAATCATGTGCTACTTTAATTGAGCGTCAAAATGACAATTTAATTAAAGTATATTTTATTTAAATTTAATAGAGACAGCGTTCACATTATAGCATTGTCAAATAATTCCAAAATAACTTATCCTAAATTATAGCTAATTTATTAAGTTTCCTTCGTTATTAACACCAAGTTTTAATAATCTTTACAATATTGATAATAATCTAATTCAAATTCAATTTGAACTTTACCTTAAAACTCAGAAAGATAAAATTCTTATTGAAATTAAGCAACATATTTATATGCATTTATATTGTATATATATGTAAATAATAATTAGATAATTAATAAGTACAAAATTCTTATTCTCAAATTAATTGTACTAGATAAGCAATAATTAAAAATTCTCATCGTTATGTGTAAAACATAATCAAAATGAATTTTACTCATAAATTCACATTTTATGAATGGTAATTATATACATACGTATTGTGTATATTGAAAGTATGTTCTAATACATAATACAAACAATATTTAGCACAATATTTGTAATTTTCCATGGTTATAACATGTACATTGCTATGCACATGTTATAACCGCATTTAGTTTACCTTAATAATTTGTTATCAATTTCACTTATACTTGTGTACATTAACCGACTTATGTTCTCTACCAAATATACATAGTCAATTTAATTGCAATTTAAAAGCAATTTAAACTAATTAAATCATTGAAAATTAGTTTTTCGTTCAAATATTGTACATTACACATACATATATATATATAGTAACTATACCTTATATAAGTGATATTCGAATATCTTCATAAATTTTTATGTTCTTTTTATAATTACTTCTCATATCTACTACTGTCTCATGGGGTACTTGCAATAAAATTTAGAAAAAAAAAAGGTAGTTAGTTACTGCTTATAAAAAATAATAAAAAATAAATATAGCGAATACATAATAGCTGTGTAACAGCTTTAATAAATACGTGATAAATAAAGAAAAAAACACGTTATATTTACGCCAAAACAACTTTATTTACTTAAGACAAAAAAAAAAACACAAAACAAATTTGCTATTTGCTGTTTGCTTTTTTTCAATTTTAATTTTCAATATTTAATTTTAAGATTATAAAATTAATATTTTTTATAAATTTTGAAATGTTGTTGGTCCATGGAGCTATTTTTGTTAAAATTTTAATAAAGCTTTTACAACTACAAATAAAATATTGTCAATGACCTTAAATAATAATGTGGCCGCCCATGGTGGCTGCTTTAAATATAATTTGTATATGAGTATATAGGTATAATAAGGGATAATAAATGTGTTATACAAAAAATAACGTATTTAGAATTAATATAGATAATGCAATTAATATACATAATTTTCTGTAATTTGGAATTAAATACGTGTAATATACCTTTATTTAAACTCAAGTATTCTTCACTTTTTATACTGATATTGCCCTATATTTAATAATTTTCGGCAAATTTTTTTTTTCAATAGAACCTTATTTTACCTAATCCTATTAATATCGTAAGCAATTATATGTATTAATATCGTAACGAAATAAATTATATTTGTTTTTTAATTTTGAAAATAAAATGTTTATTACATAAAAAAAGAAAAACAATAGTCACGAAAAACATATAATTGTATAATTTTTTTGCAATATACATATGTGTATACATATTCACACATTTTAAGTGTATTTAACAGATGGAACTTAGCTACAATTTGACTTCCTTATTGTAGCATATGAATGCATAGAAATTTATATATATATGTATTTATTTTGTTTTAATATTCCATAATGTCAATTTGATGTTCAATATTGCTCAATTATCTAAAATCTAACATGTGACGGACGTAAATTACAACACGAATTGTTTCCACCAATTATTTCAAAAACTGTTAAATTAAAATGAAAGTATGTACATCCATTGAATAATTCAAATTTTTAATAATTTTGTTTAATTTCTGGAAAATTTCAAAAAATGGAAATAAAATAAAAAACATTTTGAATTTACCATCTCATATTGGTATAGGTAAGAACAAAATCAATATATGTATATACATACATACATGTGCATTATTATATACAGGTGCAATATTAAAAATAAGTTTTAAAATTACAAGTTCCGATCAAGTTATTTTCAAGAAGCACGTATTTATGCCTTCAAACGATTAATTTTAATGTAATTATTATATTTTATATTAATTACCTATAACGTATACATATATTGTTTGTTTTCCGGACATTTCAATTTTATCTATGTACGTATGCTACATAACATTTTTACTATGGTGGGTTCGACTTTAGATAAATTATAATAGTATCACGACTTCTTCTTATTGTATATATACATACATGTGACCTTTAAATATCGATAAAATACAAATTTGAAAAGTATATTTAAAGAAAAATGTTATATAATTATCTGGTTAGGTATATGAAGTTTACACTTTGAAGAAAAGCAGACTTATTGACTTAAAAAACATTTGTTGTTTGTTTTAGGAAAAAGTTAGTTGATAAAAAAAAAATAACAATAAAAAAGACGCAAATTATAACACTTGTATTTAAATTTTAAATTCACTTTGTTTTTATTAGCTTATTTCAAAACAAAAAAAAAATAGATAATTTTTCATTTAAATATTACAGAATAGCATATGGATTTTGAATAAATGGCAATATTGTATAATATGCAGACATTTAACTGTGTTTTATGCCAGGAACAAAAAAAAAATACTAGTTTATATTTTTCACACAGATTCATCTACGAAATTTGTATAAGTTCAACTTACCGGAAAAAGTTTTTCAAACTACAAAACTTAAATAAAGAGATACAATGACAGACCTAAATCTCATTGAAACTAATTTTTATGCATTGCTCTAACCCAACAGATTTTTGAATGCAATGCTATCTTTGAATGCAATTATTGTAGTTGTTTCTTTTAATTTTTCATTTGAAATAATTATGTCATACATATATATATATATATACATATTTCTGTACATGTTTAGGTACAATAATTCGATTCTTTCATTCTAATCAGAAAAATCTTATATAGAATTTTAATTTCCTTTGTACATTTTTTTCTCTTTTGATTTATTTCAAGTTATTCAATTTATATACAGAATGTCTAGAGGATATTATTACATACATATGTACATAAATATTGATTTTCAATACATATACCATTACTATTTTTGAATTTTTATATTATTCTATATTAATGACGTAAATAATGTCCTCTTTTTTGACACTATATAATTTCTAAATTTAGAAATTTTTCAATTATTTTTGATTTTTGAAATTAACACTCTTCTTTTTGATTTTCATTCATATAAAAAATAAATTTACATGTACGTATGTATGTGTATACGCAATTGTTTTTTTTTTTGTTTGATTTATTTTTAACTATATCATTAAATCAAATCAAGGACATCTTGTAATAGTGCATGTACTTTTAAGATCAAGGATATAAAAGATATTTATAATTGCATCCATATATGTAGGATATTTTGTTCTAAAATATTTCTAAGGCTCATGCAGTATATTTTTTGTGAATTAGAAATTTCTTTCGCACTAAGTATTACAATACCGTAAAGTTATGAAAATTTTTTGAATATTTTGAATTTGAACTTTGACTCTTTTTAACTATAAAGAGTCAAAGAGTTATATTTTTGTACGTTTATATGGTACTTATAAAAATATAATTGGGTATTATTAGTACTATAAATATGGTATTATTAATGATAATTAAAATTTGTTATCTTACGATCTCTATATAAGATGATTTTTTGTTTATTAGAAAATAAAATTCTTAAGAATTTTGATTTATATCATTTCTTTTGATATATGTAATATGATGTATAAGTATATTAATATGTATAAGTATATTAATGTATACGCATAATGCATTGTATTTAATTGGCTTTCTAAAATTGGTTTTTTTAAGAAACCAATAAACTATACATATAAGCAAAATATGTATTAATGAGAACCATTATAATTATATTACCAAGAATTAATTATTTTAATCAATAATATACTTAAAGAAATTAATATGTTAAACGCATAGTCTATCATCAATTAACTATCAGCTAGAGGATTCTTTTTTTGTTATAATTATAATAAGTGCGAAAAAAATTTTATGTACAATCAATTTTGAGCAATAAGAATTGTCTTGAAACTTGTAAATTTACTTTTGCTTGAATCAAAAAAAATATTTTGAAATTAATTCTGAAATCTAAAATGCAACTACACCGTTTTACTATACACAATTCAATTTGTAAGTTGTAAATGTTAAGCTTGTAAATTAAGAATTGAAATTGGAAAATAAAAAATATGAGAAGCATAGGGTTCATTGGTATATTAGCGGAAAATTTTTTTATACAATGTAAAATTATAAGTTAAGATTTATGAGCAAAGATAAGTTTAGTATTTTTAAAAAATATTCTGAATACTCCGGTTTATATTTAATTTATACAAAAATTATATACATTTTATTATTCAAACAGTAATAAACTAAATAAATTAAAAATAAATGTAAAAAAAAAATTTAAAATAAAATATACATACACTTACCGGTGCATCATTTTCTCTTAATATAATATCATTTGGATGATCATTATCTGTTGATGATATATCTGAAGAGGATGATGCTGATGATGATGCTGAAGCAACGGTATATCTATTATTATATGTTTTATAACCGTTAACTTCATATGATGTTGTCCAAATATAAAAAATTGTTAATAGTAACATTTTTTTAACTGACATTATCACAGATTTTTATTTTTATTTTTAACCTTTTATTTTAATGTTGTTGGTAAAGAAGTATTTTTTTTATATATACGTATAATATTATTTTATCACCTTTATTGTTTTTCCTCTGTATTATAACACTACTTAGTTTGCAGTGTCAGTGTACTTTCTTAATATAAAACTTACACTTCATATATATTTTTTTATTTATTTATTTAGTTTTTGTTTTTTATTTATTTTATTTATTTATTTATTTATTCTTGTCACCTTTACTATTATGGTTTTATTGTTATTTTAATTTTTGATATTAATTTGTTGAAAAATGAAAAATGGTTTTGAGGGAAACAACATAAATCTAAGAAAAAAAAATAAACCAAGGAAATAAAATTAAAACAAAAGAATTTTAATATACTATTATTTAAGTATATTTTTCCTTTTATAATAAAAAAAATAATATTATGGTTTTTAATATATTTTAAATGTTATTTTGCTATTTTAATTTTTTAATTATTAAGAGAACGTGTTTAATATTAATTTTAACGTGCCAGTTTTTATTATATTAGACGATACTTCATTTTTTGTTTATTATAAATAATAATATATAAGTTAAATTAATTAACTATAATTAATAGTTAATTAATTTAACTATTAAATTACTAAAATTACAATTCTATTAAACACAAAATGAGTTATTAAAAAATTTATTTATAAATTTTATAAATATTACAAATTCTTTAATTCATAATCTATAACACATTATACGATATCAAAATTACGAGATTATATAATATTATCAAAATTACGAGATTAATGCTGCATAATAATTGAAAATAAATTAAATTTTCAAAAAAATTTTAATTGACCTCTATTATTTACGTTATCAATATTATAATGTTTTCTTTAAATTTTAAGGACACATAATGTATTTTGTATATCTAGGTATATATTTAAGTATGTATTTTAAAAAATAAAATTTAATTTATGACTCAATGTCATTCACCCTTAATACATGGGTATTATGATTAATGTCATGTAATGACATTCATACCTATATAATAATATTTGAACAAGATTTAAGAATAACTAGGTTAATGTCATTATTTTGATTTTATCGTGTAATCGTATATAAGATAAAATATAAAATTATTTTGACAATACTAAAAAAACAAAAACATTTTTCTTTTTTTTTTTTTTCATAAATTTTTCATTTTATTGAATTTTTATTGATATTCAATATAATGAATCATATTTTATACACGGTATCAAGTGTAATCAATGTTTTATTAGAAAATAAATATAATAAAATAAATTATCTAATTATAGATACCTATAAAATTATACGTCAACAAGTATAGTTAATTGCAAATCATAAATCCCGCTACTTTATGACCATAAACTCTTACATAATAATTGAAATATTTAAAGAATTTAAAACAATCGTAAATTACGTGTAAATAGAATCCTTACTTATAATGACAAAATAATTGATTTTTTAACCAATTTGAATTGAATTGAATTGAATTCTATTATATTGCTAAGTACTACGGAGTATATACTCGCTACGAGTTGCTAAGCTAATTTGAATTTGTTTTGAATTAAATAAAATAAATAATTTCTAAGATTAAAATTAAGAATTAAAGTGACAGAGCTTTAAAAATATTTAAGTATAGATTTTGCAAACACTTGTAATACTAAATTGGCAAAGATAAACTGATTCAGTTTTGATTTATGAGTTAAAAAATACTTTTAAATTATTTAATAAACCTATAATGAATCATTGATTTTTCTATTAAAAAATCAAATTAAATTTAAAAGATTTAGTCAATTAAAAATTGTATAAATTTAAAATAATTTTATAAATAAATTAATAGCGTCTGAGTTTAGTTGTAATTCATGACAATTTTTGTTTACCGTAAGTGTTAGAAAACATAAAAATTCATTCCTTTATTAAATAAATACGTATATATGTATATTGCTATATGTGTATAAAAAATACACGCTTTTACTTTTGTTATTGTTATATTAGTAAATCCTATATTTACTTCCGTATTAATAATTTAATGTATAATATTATGTATGTACGTTACAAGAATTCACAATAGCCTCTATTTAATTTATTATTGTTGTTATAACATTTCAAAACATACTCTTATAATATATTATTTGCTCTAACATTTTTTCTATAATATTTCATTATAATGGAATTAAAATAATCAAACAATTATTCATGTAATATTAAAGGAAGGAGTTTAAAAGAATCCGGTAAACTAAAAATCAATATTGACACACGAACAAAAAAAATTAAAAAGAAAAATAGGTACCCATGTTTTTTTTTTGTTACCTAAAGCTAACGCGCGGCCTATATTTTTTCATCATCGTAAGCATGCATGCATTCATGAGTCTTTATACAATTATACAAGTACAGTATAAAGACTTTGAAAACTTCTAAACGATGATAAAGTTTCAAACTGAAAAGGAGACAGGATATCACATAATAAATAAGACTACACGAAATTTTATTACATACTTTACAATATGCCTGAATGCATTACATAAATATTGAATACAATATGACGTTCTTTTATAAATAAATTTATATTTTGTTGTTATACGCGCACATACTATTTAAATTATAATATATTGTGTGTTAATGTATGTACATATATGTATGTACTATTATTAAATGTCAATTTAATTATCTTTTATGCAAAAAGTCTAATATTTACGAAAAAAGAAAACATTTTTTTACATGCATTTTATGTACTGGATTGTGCCTATGTACATTCATTTGAAGTATATAAATTGTGAATTTCAAAATAATATAATGTAGAATACAGGGTAGATTTGTAGATTTTTTTTAACCGGGCTAATAGTGCACCGGGACCACGTATAAGAATCTATCGTGCTCCCCCACTCCTCACTCGCTTGGAATCCACCCTTCTAATAAACTCGATTTGTGAGCCCTGGAAGATCGCAGCTCCGCTGAGAATTCAAAGTAATTTTCTTTCCAGAGCTGGCCACTCACGTACATACTCCATTTATTCCGTTTCTTTTATTTGAAGGCGCATTATGTCTCATAAATCTCTTATACATAGAATTTCTGATTCAGTTTAAGATACATAGGTTGATGGATCGCATTCAAGATCATATTAAGATAGCGCTAATATTTATCGTATCTCAATAACTAAAAATTAACTTACTAAAGTACGTTACAAATAATTTACCCAAAATTTTTTGGCATCGGAATTCATTTTCTTATTTACTTATGATAATTTAAGTGGTTATTCGAGTTTCCGGTGTATATTAAATTTTTAAAGGATTTTCTATTGAAAACAAAAAATTTTAGTGTCGCACCCTATACAGTAAATTTCCTTTTAAAAAATCTTCTCATTATAAAATCGTATAGTGTGTGCAATCATAAATATTGCATGCTTCTCGTGAAATGAATTTATTGCTGAATTATATTTCTTATATATATATATATATATATATATATATATATTGAAAATTTTTGTTATGTTCTTCATAAACTCAACCATTTAGATCTTAAAATTGGTTTTGCTTGTCTATTAATATTTATTTAGCGGTTAACATTTTTAACACGGCCATCAACATTATCATCGCCGCCGTCATCATTACAATAATCGTTGGGGCATGATGCAAGAAAGAAAATTCTTTTTTTTTTTCTTTTTATTTTTACTTCTTAAAGACCCAAAATGTTAAACGTAGTTTGTAGATCTTATTTCATTTACAACATCATTTCGTATTTAAATTTCCGATAAAATTTGAAATATTTAATATACGTATAATAGATACGGGGACTAATATGCATCCAAACTTCGTAATATTGTACATATTTTTATTTGGAGTTGACAGATTTTCATATTACTTCTGATAGATTCTCAATTTGTCAACGCCTTATGATCAAAAGAAAAAAAAAGGAGTACAATTTTTAGTGAAACATTTTTTTAAGACAAATCTTGGATCTCAAGTAGACCTGACTGTAATAACTTGAATGTCATCAACCGTATTTGGTTGGTACAACAAAAAGGGTTGAATTTTTGTAGTCATTGTGATGCCAAATTTATAAAAGATATTTGAAATATCTTATAGTATAATAAAATTGTTGTTAAACGTTTTATTTTATTAATTTATACCTTACTTTTATAAAATTCTCTTTAAATTCAGTTTAAAATGCAACGTACATAATAATATTCATTTCTTTAAAGTATTTATGTATTCCACATGCGACATCGTTTAAATATACTACACACACGTACTTTTATAATATATACACCAAGTTATATACTTATACACGTATATTACTTAATTGTACTGATTATTTTGAAGCCGTCCTTAAGTGTTATACGGAATGTTAACAGCTCTTCAAGTTTTGCTTTTTTTTTAATGTGTTATTGCAGATTAAAAATGCAAAAATTCTAATTTTTTATGAATTTTCAATTGAATTGCATAATAAAACAAATACGAATGTATAGCTATATAGAATATGTTCATTTATGTGGCGAGTGTAATGTGTTAAGTATTTTGTATACATTCGGGCTCATAACTATTTTTATAACAATTTAAACACAAATTTTATTTGAAAAAAAAAACAAAAACAAAATTTAAGCACTCTTTATTAACATCAAAATATGTGAAGGACAAAAATTTTTATAAGAATAAATGAAAATTTGCAATTTTGGAAATTTCTAATTTTTTATTATTTGAAAATTAAATTAAATATTTCCATTTTTTTTTGATAATGGATGCGATACTTAAAATATTGAATAAACAAAAAATTCAAATGAAGAGTTAGTATTAAAAATTATCATGAATTTGTGAGAACTGACATAAGGTGACATAAATGCAAAGTTTATTACTTATTTTGCAAGCAAAAATATTTTGCCGATTAGGTCAAATTTACGTTACATTTGAAAGTTGGTGGATGACAGTTTATGATTGTACTTCTGAACACCTCTATTATTTTTATAAATTACTTCAAGTTTTATAATTACATAAAGAACTATTAATTATTCTTTCAACTATATTAAATTCAACTGTATAGTATAAAATAATATACTGTTATAATATCCCTAAATAGAACATAACAAATATAATTAAAGCTAATCTATTGAAAATTTCGGAAATTCATTTAGATAAAAATTGTTTCTAAAAATTTTCAATTTAGCTATTAAAAGTTGTTCTGTTATGCATTTCCCCCTCGAGAATAACAATATTTGTAATTATTCTAGCTCTTTACTTAATTAAAAAATAAAAGTTTATTATAACATTTACATTATGGAGAAACATATACATTATATTTAATATGTTTGTTATATAAACTTGCATTATTAT